GATTCTTGAACCTTTCCCAAACCTCATATAGCGTTTCGTCGGCTTCTTGAGCGAAGTTCTGAATAGCACTCCTTAGTACCGCTGTTCTCTCTGCAGGATAATATTTATTATAGAAATACAAAGCAAGAGTTTCCTAGTCAGTAATACCAAGTGCAGTTCTATTCAAACCATTAAACCATAACTTAGCTTTGCCACATAATGAAAAAGGAAAAAGAATCTCCCTGATTTGGTCTTGCGTGACCCCGACTTGTCTAATGGTGTTACAATACTGGCAGAAATCTGCGATGTGAAGATTAGGATCTTCACCCTTAGCTCCACTGAATTGCTTCCTCTCTATCATAGTGATAAATTGGGGCTTGATTTCGAACTGAACTCCATCTAGTGCCGGAGTGGGAGTAAGGTGCGGGAAATCTGTGAGCTTCGGCTGCGAGTAGTCACTGAGTTTCTTCTGGGCCGTCATCTCTGATTCTGAATCTGAAGGAATATCTGTGTCACTAGAATCAGAGGGAGGATCTCTTCGGCTGTTGTCCTCCTCGGAACCCGCCAGAATTTGTCTATAGATTTTCCTTTGCCTATGAAAAGAGCGCTCGATCTCAGGATCGAATGGGATGTAACCTGATCTGGAACACCTGGGCATAAACAAGGAACTAAAAGACAAATATGAGAATTTCCTCAAAGAACTAACATTCTCTGAAACAAAAGGGGATAATCTAGACTACAAAAAATTAATCAAAAATAAAAATAAAACCGTTTCCCCGGCAACGGCGCCAAATTTTGACAGGGTAAAGTCGTATCCCCTAATCAAAATTATTACCTAAGTCCTCTAACTAAAGTAGATAGGGAAGTAGGATCGAACTCCACAGGGAAACAAGTCTTTCTATTCCTAATTAATTTTTTATAATCTAAATTATCTAAGTAACCAATATTTTTGGGAATAAATTCTATACTACGAAGAATAAGGTCGGAAGAAATAAAATAGGAGGAAATCAAATATTAAAAGACCTAGGGCATAGGTTCACTAATAAGCAATATTCCAGGGAAAATCATAATAAGCAATCATCAAGCATTGATTGATCAGATTATAAAGGGCTTTCGCTACGTATTATAATCACAGAGTTAATTTACCGGTATTAAATCTCATCTGTAGAATCTCGACTTAACCATTTATAAATTAGTCCGCATATTGAAACTAAGCCTAAACATCAATTCTCATCTGTCGAATCTCGAATTAATATTGCTAAACTCATACAATTAAATATGGCCAAACCTAATTGCATAGCATAAAATCAATCAATAGGAAATTAACCAAGCATTGATAATTAACAATCACAAAATTACCCCTTCATATCATTTATTAGATCCCCATAAACCCTAGAAATAAAACTACTCAAGCATCATCATAACTAAACTAATCAAATAAATAAAGCAAAGCATAATCAAAGAAGTAAATAAAATAGCTGAAATTAAAAGAGAAGAAATTGTTACCAAAAGAAATCTGGATTAATGAAAGTAATTAAGAACAAAAGTTGAGAGAGAGTTTAAGAGAGAGAAATATCCTAAGTAAAGAGAGAAAGTCTAAAGAAGAAGGTAATCCAAAATTACGTACATAATTCGTACTTAAACATTCCTCAAAACAAAAATTAAAACTAATCTAATCAGCTCTGAGAAAAACACGCGCCCGATCGGGCGAAGGGCCGCCCGATCGGGCCCGCCTTTTTGCCTTGCCCGCTGCTGGTGTACCGCGCCCGATCGAGCTTACGCTCACCCGATCGAGCGCGCCTCTTCCTTGAGGGTCCTTATGCGCGCAGCCGCCCGATCGGGCGTATGCTTGCCCGATCGGGCCCGGTCTTCTTCTTCGAGGCTTAGATTTCGATCGGGCTCAATTCCTCGGCCCAATCTAAGTTTCCTCATCAGGTCTTGATTAATCGATCCAATAGCCCCTGTATCTCATACCGAGCCCTTAATCATCGGCTCTCACCGATCCTGGGCTTCAAGAGTGGCTGTGTCCTTCTAGCTTCCGTAGTTGATCCATAAAAACCCGGGAAAATGCTCCAAAAGTGAAACTTTCTTAAAAATACAACTAAAACTACGAAAACACTAGAAAACACAAATTAGTAATAAAAGTGGCCCTAAAGAGCCAAAAACACTACTAATTATGACCATGGGACGGGGGTAAAACACTATATAAATTGGACATATCAACGCACTGGCATAGCAAAAGCAAGTTCAAGCAAACTTTAAGGGATTGACAAGCGTTGGTCTTCAGTGATATTCTTCAGAGTATTATCGCAACAAATGAGGATCGCTTCAGGCGAAGCAATCTTCGATCATGTTCCCTGGCTTGCGGAAGATGGACACAAAGCGATGAAGATCGTTTTAAGCGAAGCAGTCTTCGATAGGATTCTCTGGCTTGCAGAAGACTATCACAGCGGAAATTGGAGGCAGTTACAAGCGTAGCAGTCTTCAGGCGGTATCCCCTAGCTTGAGGAAGATCGTCAAATCTCTTTGTTCAGAAACGCGTGGACATATCAACATCAAAAAAGCAAGATGGCGTTCCCTAGCTTGTGGAAGGTTGTCACAACAACAATGCAACAACAAATCGGTTACTCTCAGAGACGTGTACTCGACGGTGCAAGATACGTGTTTCTTAACTCTCTTATCTGTTTAACTAACATTAGTTTTGCAGGTATCGGCGTTATAAGAATGATTTGGGATCGCATAACGTTCTGAATCATTCTCCGTCCCTATCGATACTTTGACTTTTGTTATCGAAACTTACGTTTCTCCAAACTCAGTCAAAGTGGGGGCTTTTGTAGGCACCCATTTGTGTCTCCCCAAAACCAAATCCGGTGATAACCTTTCACGTCGAATCATAATCGAATGAACTGAAAGTGTGAAAGATTTAGTGTTGCGGTTAGTTTTAATTCTCTTCTTTCTCTCTGTTTTCGAAAACCTATTTTATGAAAAGAGTCAATCCAGTTTAGTTTGGTCTATGGCAAGGGTCCAGTAATGGTATAGTTGGATCGGGTTTGAAAAGAGCTTTCCAACGATATATTATAAGCCCAATGCCGATGAATAATGAGAAAATAATGGCCAAATTACTAAACTGGGCCCGGTTTGATCCTTATATGCGGCCCAATGATCTGAAGGAGGGCCTATTATGAATTATCATTCCTAATGCAATTAGGATTGATTACATTCTTTTAGAATCTTCTAGAAGGTTCTTTTGAATCCTAATGTGATTAGCATTAATAATTGAGTTTTATGAATTTTATTTAGAATAAAAGAAGTGTTTTAAATGAAATAACGATTTTACCCCTCGTACGCTTAATTTTATCAAAAATATGAAAACGTGTGGAAAACTGCCTGCAGCGCCGCACAACAGGCTGACGTGTGCTCGACGGTGCAAGTTACACACTAGCGACAGGCCTGTCGCGCGGCGACAGAGGCTAGTACGGCGACATCGTCGTGTTTTATTATTCTTGAAACTCCGATTCTTTTTTATCATATTCCGGCTTATTTTCGTTATAATTAGCCTCCTTAAACCTCCGTTTTGAATTTTCAACTCTCATCAAGAAATTGTTGATATTTTCTCTCTTTCTAAACTAGCCTTTTCACAAACAAAATTCTGCATTCACAAGATCTAGACACACCTAGCCCAATTCGAATTTGCCTTCGCCCTAGACGTGAAAGGTTTGATAATTTTGAGGGTTTGGTCTTAAATCTTTATTTCAATTATTTAATTTAATTGTTTGATTTTATATTTTCCTTGAAGTTACTAACGTGTGTATTTTGTTATTAGAAAGAGGTACAAGACATCCAAGTAAGTGCTTTAATTGCTTTATTGATATTATGATGTAGAAATCATGGTTAGATTGTTATTTTGATTCCTAGTATCATGTTAGGTTGTTTTATTGCTTCCTAGTATCATATTTAGGGTGATTTGCTTATATCAATTATGATTTCTATGATGCTTCCTATTGTCTCTCCTAATATCATGTTAGGGTTAAAGTTTTGATTTTTATTGTTTAGTGACATGCTAGGGTTTGTTATTAATCTTGTTAGTATCATGCCTAGGATCTTGCTAATATTAAGCTCTAACATGATTATGAGTTTTTTTTTATGATTTATGATTATAATTAGTATTATTATTATTATTATTATTATTATTATTATTATTATTATTATTATTATTATTATTATTATTATTATTATTATTATTGTTATGATTATTGTGTTGATTATATTTATTGTTATTGTTTGATCACGTCTTTTATGCATGTTTAGGGAAATTGTATTTGTAATCACGCTTAATAAGATTATTTATAATCTTGTTTAGGGTTAATTTGATTATAATTAAAGTGATCGTCAATAATAGTTTTATTTGTGTATTAATATTCAATCAACACAGATTAAACAGGTTTAGGGTAAACCTAATGATTGCATGTTAATCAAAAAACGCACATGAATACGAGAAGAATAAAGTAGACGTTTATTATTAGGGCAGGTTCTTCCTCTTTTAGATTGGATTTGTACCTTCATCCCCGAACTTTCAGTTTTGGTTCCAGACCTATTGGAGTTAACGATCTCTTGAATCGTTAAGGGGTGTAACCTTCACCTTGTGAATGATTTACAAGTTCCTAAAACTTGTTGGCGACTCTTTTGCTTTATCTTCCTTCTCTTTGGACGCCACCATGCTTAAGTGTATGATTACAGTGGGGTTTAAATTTGGGGTAATGCTTGAAATATTCCCTACATATATTCTCTCCCTACTTTCTCCTCTTTCTCTTTAATTTCACAACAGATTCTAATTTTTGACATTAACACTAAACAATTTAATCATCAATATTTGTAATTCTAATGAAAGAGGTAAAATTATAAAAAATTATAATATTATATGTTGTTATAATACTTATTGAGACGATTCTAACAAGATCACGCGAAAAATATGTTTTTATTTGCATATGAATCATAAAAAATGGTCAAGAAGAGGACGTGAATAGTGCAAAAGGTCAAGATATGTCAAATAAAAAAGATCGGATGGAGTATTTGGTTGTGCTTTAAGTTTATTAGATTAGATTAGATATCATACCTGAAAATTTAATCTATAAATAAATGAGATACCAAAAATTAAACAAAACCATAGCAAGCTCACTTAGGCTATTCAAAGAAGATAAACAAAAATTAGAGGCTTACAAGAGGGGAAAAAAAATCATCTTCACTAATCAGCAAGAGCTGTAATTTTTCTTTTTTTTGAGATTTTGGTAGGATTTTGGAACCCTTCTTCATCATTAGCAAACTGAGCAGCAGTTCGAGCCCTAAGTTCTTCCAAAGTTTCTCCTTCTTTTGCTCTTTCTAGGACCTTAAGAATAAAATTGGTTCAGAATTCATTTAAAAAAACCCTAATGCATATTTACATTGGTTGAGCAAAATACAACTATGAACATTGAAGAAAATGTGAAAACATTTTCTGTTCGATTAATTTACAGCATTGCAGCAAAAACTACATGAAACCTAAAGAATATAGGAGAATACAAACAGAAATAAAACTTACCAGGTGTCTCCCATACAAATGAGTACTCGATAGAGCATTGAGAGCATTTTGAGCTTCTTGCTTGGTGACAAATTTGATAAATGCAAAACCCCTGTGTTTCCCAAATCTCATTGGAAGCCTCAGGGTCTTTATCTGTTACACATGAAAGAGTTATTACTGTCAAATTGTAAATTCCAAAAAAAACAACCGGCAAATAGAATCATACTACAAATCGGACCAATAACACATGGAATGGAGGGTACCAAATTGAATCAACCATTGTTGTGGATTAGGTCTAATTCATATTAATTTCACTTCAATAAAAATAAGTTCAATTCGGTAAAAATAACTATAGAGAGTATATATATTAGAAAATAGTAAATAACTTCAATATGGTAAACATATTTTGAGTTAGAAAAATTAACTCAAGCTAAGCAAAAATTGTTTTAGTTCATTAATAATATAATTTCACTTCAGCTAAAAACAAGTTGAAAAAACAGGACCTAACTCTCATAAATAATTTTTAATTCCACAATCGACCCACTCACACAATATTTAATTTCATTCAACTAACTTTCTAAAACTTAGTGCTGGTATAAAACAGGGCACTTGAAAAAACAATGGAGAGTAATGAATTGATGAGTGCACGAAGGTTTAATGTGTTCAAGTCTCTTCGTTTTTTGTCGACTTGTTGGATCCAGTTGGTTTTTGACTTATTAGTGATGAGCTAAACTGAAATAGGTAGGCTAAAACCCAGCCCCACATGGCCACAGGCACTAATTCAAACGAACAATGAATTCTAGCTAATGACACCAAGTCACCAACCCAATAATCTGACGATATCCCTTGAGTGTGTATGCAGTAACAAATATTCTTGTAAGGGGGTGAGGGGAAAAAATGCAGAGTATAACAGGCCTAGCAGAACTACTACTCCTACTACTACTACTACGCCTTAGTCCCAAATTGATTTAAAGTGAGCTAACATAAATCATAAAGGAACCATCCGCAAAAATTGTAGTTGAAAAAAAAAAAAGCGATAATATTAAAGTGGACGAAAAATATGAACAAAACAAAGCGAGCAATAAAACAGAAGCGGAAACAGATAAATAAATTTGGGAATGTCTGAAAATAGGTTTAAAAATAAAGAATAGAGGAATTATATGCGAATAAAAACACAGAAATAGTTTGATAAAAACATTGACAGAGGAATCAAAAGTTTGCAAATGAGTTTATGTAAAAAAAAAAAAAAAAAAAAAAAAAAAAAAAAAAAAAAAAAGGGTACTCTGTGAAGATGTTGGTTGGAGAAGCAGTTTTAACAGAACAAAGTATCTTACCTGACCAAACGGACTGAACAACTGTCTGAGATCCTTTTCTGTTGCCTCAAATGCTACATTTCTTACTATTATTTTTGTTGAGCTTTGATCATTTCCAGATTTCTTCAGAACTTTTTCATCCTTCTTAGCGTGGCAAAGTTCCAAAATTAAAGCATGTCCATCCAGCACAGTTCCCTACAAATAACCAAAATTACAATTGGTGGAAGCTCTAAAAAAAATCACAATAAGCTGCTTGTTTTACATAACTTACAATTGCTGAGGTTGACCATAATAAACATAGCAAAAATAATAGTTATTTTACCTGTAAATCCCTGCATACATTTGTTGCTGTCTCCACAGAATCAAATTCTACAAACCCAAATCCCTTTGAAACATTCTTCCCATTTTTCAAGTGCTTTTTTATCTGGAGGGGGAACAAAATTGAGTGTTACAAGCTACTGCGAGCAAAAGTTTTCAAACTGTAATAGAGTGTGTGGCATGCTCACTTTGACGCTTAGAACTCTCCCTTCTTTCATGTTTTCACTGAAATGCTTCCTCAAAGTTTCATCAGCTGTCTTAAAATTCAAGCTCTTCACAAAAAGAGAACGCGACTGAAATGAAACAAATGGAAGTTGAGAAATAATACGGATAATATAAACTGCAACACACTTTTTTAATCACATATTAACAGTCCTATCATAAGCCATTTGCTTCTGATATGCCAGTAACTAAATTGACAGCTTGAGCCTTCACTAAAATGCAATTTCTGTTGAACTTATAAATAGAGATGAGAGAGGGGAAAGAATAACAATCTGAAGCAAATTTTCCAACAATTTCTTGCTAAAAGGTTTGTTGTACACCTGTATACACCAAGCAAAGCTGAAACTTACCCAAATACCTTACCCGAACCAAAACTCAAACTCTTCCCATAATCATAACACCTATTATTGACACAACCCAAACTTGACCCACACCAACCCAACCCAACCATCAATCTGTCCAACAATGATTGTGTTATCACAATAAGCTTACTGGCCATAAAATCAAATCGAATTCAAAACCAAATTGGACGATTCCTTAGAATCCTTACAAAAGCCAATCCCGAACCTGATTCAAACGACCTATTGCTATATCTACAACTGCATTGATGGGTTTTCGAGCCACCATTAATATTACACAATAACAAAAGGTTATTGGTCAATTTGTTTTCCTAGCATTCTAATTTTTATTGCGAAGCGAAACAAGGTCAGGCACGCCAGTGAGGTGATAAAATCTTTTCGATTAGCCAAGAGAGTTGAGATCAATTAACATATACATATGCCGGTTATTTTTTTCACCATTAGTACCACATGTCCCCTTCTCTTTAAATTTTTCCTTTTTTTCTTTTGAATTTTATCCACGGAAAAAGATAGCTTTATCTCTAAATCAATATATCTCTCCCAGAATCCCCCTTTACTTCTTCAATATTTTCAGCAAGAAAAGACATAATTAATACACCAAATTATTTTTAACACCCTATCAAATGAGATCAGATTAATAGAAACAACATAGTGAAAAGAAAATTGTAATTTGTCAAACCTCAACACGATCAGGATCCAGTTCATCTTGAGATATCTCCTTAATTTGATGTTCAAGTGAAACCTTCTTAGCTTCTTGTTCACCAACAATCATATTACTCTTGTCAATGTCCAAATCTTGACTAAGAATATTACCGGGAGCCCATTCCAAATACAGTGGAGCATCTCTGGAGCCAGAAAGTACAATAAGACCAAAGCTTCATTTAGTAATCAAGCAGTACTATTTAAAAGCAGACCAGGTCACAACATGGCAACATTAACAGATCGTGGGTGAATGGTTAGTGCCAGTGGTTACACAATTTCATCCAATAATTCAGATCAACAGGCAGAGGTAAAATTGGTTTATCACCTTCCCCAGATACAATAGTACAGAATTATATGGAAGGGTTAACGAGGCATTTATCATTTATACTGAGGACCAGTCAATCTGCTAAATGAAGATGATATCAGTAGATAACTTCTAATGATCAACACGAGAGGAAAAACATGAGAGTAAATACACAGAGAAAGGTGACGTCTTTTTCAAAAGAAGATCAATCATTTGGAAAGGTTTAGTAGTTATAACTGCTGTTGAGACAAAGGATACTAAGAGTCAATTTTACTTCACTTACCAAAGGCTGAATGAAAACATTACTCCCTCCGTGTTTAAATAAGTGTTACGCTTTGACCGGCACATAGTTTTAGGCAATTTAATTGACTTAAATAGAACAAGAGGTAAGCAGGTAGTTGGAGTACTAAAATATTGTAAAAGAAAGATAGTGGGGTTAATAGTTTATTGAAAAATAATGAACGTAAAAGGATATAAATAATAATAAAAAAAGTAGTGGTGGGGGACCACGAGAAGAGAGAGATATAATATTAAAATATAGAGATATAAATGTAACACTTATAAAAACACGGCCGCTTTTGGTAAGTGTAACACTTAACACTTATTAAAACATGGAGAAAGTACCCAAATTAAGGAATGGTTACATCTATCAACTTCAAATAGTAGCACATAAGACTTACTTATAACGCTTGTATGCCAGGCCTCTGCAAGCAGCACGGGCATCAGCTGGTTCAAGAAAGATTACCTAAATTACCAAGAGTGAACAAGAATACCATCATATTAAATTTCACTATTATAAAAATACTTCCTCCATTCCATAAATACTGCAACATTTCCCTATTTGCACACGTTTTCTCTCTTTCTCTCACTCTCTTTCTCTCTCTTCATCAAATGGCTACCTATTTTTATTCCTCTCTATCTCTCTCCTCTCCTTAAAATACATGTCCCCTCGTCATGTTGCGATATTATGGGAACAAAAGAAGTAATTCCCAGTTGACAATATATGCATGAAGCTCAAACTGAACAAACATTCCCATCTTGCAGCCCAGCCATAGCCCATAGGAGTTACCAAATCTGACGTAACACTAAGCTAAATTTATTAAGCTTAATATAATTGTACAGAATACAGATAATTAGACACACCACATAATGCAATTAAAATTTAAGAAAATACCAATATTTGTCATGACATTCAATATAAATCACAAAGGTACTAGATAACCACAATTAAGATGATTAGATGAATACAAACTTGAGATTACTGCTGTACCATCAAGCAACCGGCGACTTGCACCATTCAACTCACAATTGATCTTATGTTATTTAAAAGAAGAGTAAAATACATAATCCTTAAAACCTTAATATACTCGTCAAACATTAAATCCCAAATTCCATTTATCCATCACCTCTAAAGAAGTATAGACACATCAATCAAGTTTAGCTGCCCACTACATTTGCTTCTACAAGCCAGATAATTCTATCTCTTTGTCAATACTTCAGACCTTTTTCGGGAGATATAAGTTGTTTTTATACCTTCTACAGTGAAGAATGCTTTCGTCATTGCTATTTAAATTCAGATACTCCCTCTGTTTTTTTTTAAAGTGCCCCATTGGGGTGTACACCTACGCAGAGTTTTAGGAAAAAGAGTAAAATAATGCGTTGCCACCTTTTTATTATCACGCTTGTCAATGCACTATTTTAACGATTAATATCTCTAATTATTGATATTATAAAATTTTTGAAAAAATAGATTTTATAAAATATAAATTGAAACAAGATCTCACGTGACTATACTTTATCGTAGTTATAAATCAAAAAAGGTAGTGAAAGTGTAGTTTGTGAATAGTGCAAAAGTCAAATGGTGTCAACTAAAAAAAAAAAGAGAAAGCATATAAGTGGGTATGGTTAGGAATAAAAAATTTTGGAAAAGTAAGAGAGAGAGAAAGAGATATAAATGGGACCACTAGGTATAATGTGAGAGGGAAAAATATTATAAAATGATAGTGGTGTCAAAAGGAAGAGAGAGAAGTAACATATAATGTGAGTGGGGCACTTCAAAAAAATAGAGGGAGTAATTATTTCTTCAACTGAAAAAAAAAAATAAAAAAAAATAAATAAAAAAAATTATATCATTACTACCTCCATTGACTTCTATTTGCAACAAAGAGATCCGCATAGACTCCTAGGCAAAATATTTCAAGCTTATATTAGTAAATTATTAAAGGTTAGATTAAGTTGAAGAGAGAAAATGGTGGTGATTAATGAATCACCCCTCACCGCCAACACTCACCCTACCACAGTCTATGTTACTCGGACGCTTCATTTCACCTCACTACCGGTGTTGGATCCTAGACACTCAGACATTGATATGACACCCGGACACTTCACTTTTAGTTCAAAATCATGGAATTTTTTCACAAAATAGCCAACACTCACACAATAGCAAACTGAAACTATTAGTTACAAGTACAAAAAGGTTTTGCATTTGCAAATGAAATAAAAAAGTTTGTAGTCACTGCAGAATTCAATTTCTCATAGCCATTCCAGTACTACATTACCCACCCCCATCCCTCCTTCATTCTACCCTTAAAACAGGGGGTCTCGATAATTTCTAGCATATTGATAAGAAAAAGGAACCATATACTAGACAATAAAGACAATCATCCAGCAGAAGGCCAGCTATCAACGTGGACATTAAACTTAATAAACAAAGCTTTATAAAATCGTAATTGAGACCAGCAGAAATTGCATTTAACTCAAATTAAAGAATATCTTCTGAGCATCTCACCGACTTACCAAGGCCAATGTTCTGGTTGGAGGAAGTATAATTTTATCAATGCTACCAAACTTGCCAAACATTTTTGAAAGTTCACTTTCAGTTGAGCTGTAAGGCAAGTTCTTTACAAGTAATACATGGTTACTTCTCTTTACACCTTCAGTTGTCCTGGTAGCAAGTTCTTCCAAGGAAGCCACATTTACTCCAGCGTTTGTCAAAGCCTTTTTAGTCTCAGCAATGATTTGAGTTTCTCCAAGAGCAATGCGTACTGCAAGATCATCAGCTTCACGATCTAAAAAGTCACTTTTACTGATTCCAAATCTCCTAGCAATATTTTCTACAATCTGTGGAGAAATTGAGCTCATATTAATCAATGCTACAATTGAGAACAGCCAGACGTTCTGTCTCTATTAATGTAAACACTTTGTCTTTTAACAGCCAGAGGTTGTCTCTAAATAATGGATATGCAGAGCACCACATATGATATGATGATTCTAGTACTATGGATACGACAGAAAACAAATAACTGTCAAAAATTGGAAGCAGGGATACTTATTTTATCAAATGTAAATGATTATTAGAAACAAAATGTTCAAAAGAATAGTCCCAACAAGGAGTTTCTAGAATAATCTCAACTACTATGTTGTGTAGCCGGACTACATTTATTTATTGTAACTTAACAAGTGCCCATGGGCACACATTAGACAAGCCAAAGCCCAATATGTAAAAAACGCCTACAGCACCTACTATGTTGTGTAGCCGGACTATATTTATTTTTTGTAACTTAACAAGTGCCCATGGGCACACATTAGACAAACCAAAGCCCAATATGTAAAAAACGCCTACAGCACCTATGACTCCAGAATCACACAAACACCAGCATAGCACATAGCTTTAAAAGTTGAACATAACACTACACCCGACACAAATCATAAGCAATGACAAACGTTTTTTTAAAGCACGGACACTTTAGGAGTCATATACACTAAGATATATTACGATAATAAGCATCAAGTAGATAACATTTGTACAGACCACACAAAGAACAGACTCCTTTAACATAAAAGGAGTCCAACAGCATGACAACTGAAAATTCAAGCATAACAAATGGGTCAAAGATTTTCATAAAAGAAATAGAGACATACAGTGTCAGCACGCATAAACAAGCTGTTCCAAGCTTGAGTATTGCCATCAGCTTCTGATGCCTTTTTCTCTTCCACCCTCCGCTCCTTCAGTGTTTTGGTTTTCCCCTCCGTGAAAAGATTTCTGAATAAGATAATTTAGTAATTATTAAATTGTTCCAAATACAAATCCATGAATCAATGCTGCCACAAGACAGATAAGCAAAATTACAGTAGGAATTTTGGTAAGGATTAAATTGTTCACTTCATTTGGGATGAATTATCAAGAGACAAAATTCTCTGCGTATTGCATCTTATTAAAACACAACTCAGCATAAATTTTTGCTGGAATAGGATTTTGATTGGTCCAATAGGCAAATATACACAAACTTACACAAAAACCACCAAAAAACAAAACGAGATTAAGATATATATTGAATATTGAATACAATAAGACTCTTATTGACAGGTAAAGAGAGATAGTTCGCAATCACCAAAACCTTCCCTTGAAAACTATTTTTCACAATCACTGATTGATGACCTATTCCTATTCAGATACCAGATATATATTTGCCTCCATTTCTCTCCCTATTACTCACAAATATATTTGCCCCCAATCTGAAGACTTTTAAGATCAAAACCTGGCCACCAACTGACCACAAGCACTGACCAGAAAGCCACAATATTTACCACCATATCTTCAGCAGAAGAGTTATTCTGTAAGGGAATTAAAATCTAGTACCTAGATCATTATGGATACACATTTAATAATAGTCAACTAGAGTTTGTTGAGAGGGAGAAAGAAAAGAATACTGAACCACCCCCCCTCTCACCCGATTTATTAAGGGAGGGTTGAAGAAATTCGTAATTCCCAAGCGTTCCCCTTTCTGTTTCTCTTTCCCTTATCTTAGCCTTTGAACTTGAAGGGATCTCATATAGTCATAAATGCATTTCTCAAAGCTTCCAGCTTCCTATATATAGTTTATTTTTTTATAAAAATCAATATTTGAATTCTAAACAACTGATGAGTGGCATCTATGGCACTTTTAGGGTAGTATTTTAGCCTTATTTTCTCCCTTTTTGTAGCTTTCATTTCCGATAAATGCTTGATTTCGTCTCTTTTAAATATGGTTTATGAATTAGTGCTTAATTTACATTTTCATGCTTAAATTGCTTATTTCTTCTTTTATTCTTTCACTCGTCTTTCTCTCGTTACGTGTAGGATTTAGTCAACGCTCAAGATGTGATTTGGAGGTATTTTCCGGAGATTTTGGAAGTCATGGAGCCAAGCTTATAGCATTTGAGGAGTTAGATAGCAAAGAAGAGTAAGAGGATCAGCTTGGTGCTCTAATGGCCTCCTCTCACGTCCCCTGGTGTGCCCCCACCAAATTGGGATTCTTTTGTGCAAATGAATCTGACTAGCATCATCGCTAACCACCACGCTCGCATAAGCCCTCCCCTACTTCATCCCCCTCGCTCACAGCTGCATCATCACTCTCGCAAGCGCGCTCGCACCTGCTCTCACTCAAGCATTGTACGACCCCTCAGCGTGCGCAAGCAGCAGCCTGGTGCGTACGCGCTGAGCTTTGCAGCCCGGTTTTATTTCTTCTTTCACTTCTTTTCTTATAAATAGGAGTTGACCATTTGTAATTGAGTTAAGCAGATTTTTAGTACAATTTTAGTTCAACTTAGAGGAGAGAGATAGTGTGATTTCAACATTTGATCTTCAATTTTAATTCAAGCATTGTTCAAGATTTCCTCACAATTCTAGCATCTTTTTCTAGAAAAATCTATTACTTCTGCACTATAATTTGTGCTGATGTTACTTTGAATTACTTGGTATTAGTTGATCTTAATTGATTTGATTAGCTTAATTGATCCTCTAGGTAATTTCTTACCCAATTTCAGTTTTGATGATGCTTTTGTTTGATTTTGTGCTTGATAGTATAATCATGCTTAGTGAGTAGACTCCTAGCTATTAGGGTGAATCATGATTATATGGTGATTTGAGTAGAATTTGGGAAATTAATCAAAGTTACTTTTTGATTAAAGGTGATTCGATGAGGTTTGCTTGTTGTTTATCAAATTAGGATTAGCTAACCTTGTTGATAAGCATAATAGCATGTTGATCTTTGTTTGGCATGGGAATGTGAATTTGGATCATCATAATTGATAGCATATTTTTTTATCAAGTTTCTCTTTGGAATGAGTCATAGAGTGATCTAGGCTTAGGAAATTGAGAAAGTGTTCTTGATTGCTTTTGATTGCTCCCTACATTCTATTCTTTACATAATGATTGATTGATTGATTGATTCCCCATTTTATCTCAATTGCTTGTAATAATGTGGATCCTAACTCTATAGTGCCTTTAGCATTTGTTTTCCTACTTAATTTGCATCATTTGAAGGACTTCGGAATAGCTTAATCATAAACTATTGCAATTAGCTTCCCCTTTCCTCGTGGTTCGACCTCGTGCTTGCTACTAGAACTAGTATCTTGCTTGAGCTTTACTTATTTGTTTGATATCTAAGATTTAACAAATGACCTAATTCTTAGCTTGTCAACAACCCACATATAGAAACTTTGTTATGATTTTCCGAGCATCTTTTGCTTACCCTAGCATGGCATCCAATCTTTTCTTTTAGGATTTGCTGGAAATCAAATAAAACAAAGGAAAGTTTACAAGACACTTACCCTTGATTAGATGACAGATCTTTTGCTTTTGCTGGCATAATATGCAATAATCTACCTTGAAATATTGAATGATCTAGCTCCTCTAAAGCCCTGAGAAATAATATAAAAAATTTAAATTATAAGTTAAACAAAACAAAAAAAGCAAAACCTGTCGCAAGGCCACAAGCTATTTTCCCCGGGTACATGAACTTTGGTGCAAAGCCCGGCGCAAAGTATGTGATATTGGTGCCACGCAAACATAGATGACTCTCCTACCGGATATTCACTAGAGTTAAAATGTTTTAATTTTTTTTTCATTTTTTTGGCATTTTTCATTTTTTTTATTCCTTCCCCTAGTTAGTAAACCCTTTTATTTTACTTCAGCCCCACATCACATCAGTAGCTCAAACATAATCTCCACACTCTCTATTCACTGCCACAACCACCACAAACACTCTCCTCATCCACATTTGTCCACCAACCAACAAACCCAAAAATATAACACAAATAGCACTAATTTGCAGCCAACAACAAATACAATACTTCAATCAAGATAGTCTTAAAAAGATATAACAATAATCCAATTAGAGTATTTCATCATGCCCATGAGCTAGTCAAAACCAAAAGATCAAAAAATTATAATAGCCCAATCTTTTTTTTGGGGGGGGGGGGGGGGGGGAAGGAATGACTTAAGGAAAAATAGCCCTATCTAAACTAAGCATAAAAAAATTAAAAAAAAAATTGCAAAAACATAAAAAACCTAGATGCCCAAACTTGCATCCCTCTCCCAATCTCACTCTCTCGACCTTAGTGGGATTGCATCCCTCTCCCAATCCCACTCTCTGTCCTCCCAACTATCACCCCCATTAACATTAACTCCACCAACTCTGGCACTCTCACCACATTCAACTCCTCTCTCAATGGTCATTGGATCACATCTCCCCTGATAAATTCTTTCTTAAAATGGTTTTTCACTTGCACTTTTTGGGTTAGCAAAAAATGACAACGGTTTTCTTTTACCATTTTCAGCATTGTGTTTTGAATAGTGCTTTTATTAGTTAGGATGCCAAAAAGAATTGGAGAGAAATTAATGATGACTAAGGCTTAGTAAAAGAGGAAAGAGAGAGAAGGATGAAGATGATATAGACGGTGGCGAACTAAGATTTAATTTTTAAAAGGTCTTTTAAATATCTTGGGTCGATCATCCACAAGAATGGTGACATTGATCAAGATGTGGTTCACAGGATTATGTCAGGGTACCCTAAATGGAAAGAGGTCACACGAGTGTTACATGACCAAGACTTGAAGGGGAAATTCTATAGGACTACCATAAGACCAACATTGCTCTATGTCTAGATGGTATAGAATGTTGGGCTTATAAGAAGAAGCACATTAAAAAGATGGAGATTACGAAAATGCGCATGTTAAGATGGATGTGCGCTAACACTATAAGAGATAGAATCGGGAATGAAGTTTTTTGCAAGAAAGTGAGTGTCGCAAGCAGGCATTGCAGACAAACTAAGGTAAAATCGTCTACGTTGGTTCGGACATGTAACACCACAGTGCACTGTACGAATAGTGGAAGAGTAAGATCATGGAAAAGTTAAGGAGATCGAAAATGACTTGGTTGGAAAGAGTTAGGAAGGATATAAAGCATATGGATTTGCATTAGAATGAGGTATTTGATCGTAAGGGATGGAGGAGGAAAATTTTTGTGCATGACTATACGGAATAATCACTTTTGGTTCATGTACCTGCCCCATGGCTTTGCTTGATTGAAAGGTCACATGAGGATGTGAGGTTAAAAGTTGGATTAAATAAAAATAATAATTAGAACGATAGTTGCTTATACAGAAAGAAAGAAAAAAAAAATCAAAACATTCCGACTCCGGCAAATCACCCAAAGAGTGAGGACAATTATGTAATGTGTCACATCCATACCCCGTACTTTATGCATGAGATAAGGTTGTGAGGATATGCTACTCCATGCCCAGGCTCAATAGTTTGTGCTATTGTGGCCAATTTTTGCATAAAAAATATTAAGATCTAAAACAAACTTCTGCTAATCTAATCCTAATCAATACGTTGTTGCCATTCTATTTTCTGAGTCATATTTCATTATTGTTAAAGTATTGGACACATACCTATAAAAAAAAAAAGAAACAAAATATAATGGCCCAATCATCATTACAATGATTCTAGACATTACACAACATGAGATTCTGACCAATGACTATTTCCTTTTGAAAATTCTGCACCAACAATCCATTAGTTATTTCATCCTTTAAAACTTTATAACAATCATGACATGCTATGAGATGAAGACTTATAGCAATCATTCTATTTGAGATCTACAAGATTCCCACATCAAACAATCAGTACACAGCAGGCCAAATAAATTAATTACCTGAGAGCATCTTCTGGAGCTCTATAGTGAACATAGGCAAAACCCTTGGACCGCTTAGTCTCTTTATCAATCACAAGATGGACCTCTGAAATGTTTCCAAATTTACTGAAGAGCTCCGCCAGCTCATCCTCACTGAAAAAATATGCAATTAAGACAAAACAAGAAAACTCAGATCAAATATTAATAATTAGCTAGCTGCTAATACTAGTGTACATAGAATTAAAATAGAAAAAAATGGAAAGTTCATACGTTGCAGCGTAGGGAAGATTGCGGACAAAAAGGCGACCAGACTGAAGCACTTCATTAGTGTCTTCAGAGTTAGATGACACATTTCCAGGGTTCACATTAGATTCTTCAAAATCACTTTCGTCAATATCCTCTTCATTAAAATCCTTCTTATCCAAATTACCTTCAGATGGATCTAGATTAAACTCGTTTTCACCATCCCCATCACTTTCTGAATCTGACCATTCTTTTGTTACCCTACTTTTAAAGTAATCTGTATCTGAGTCTTCATCATCCCCTCCGAGCACTTGATTTTCATCAGGCATCTCAACTTCCCTTCCAGAATTTTCTTCCCTGTTCAGCTGTTTGAGATCTTTTTTTAACGTACCATGCTCCTTGTTACCTTTACCACTTTGGTCATGAGTGGGAACTACAAGATCATTTGCCCACATTTTCGACTTGCTTCGTGGCTGCATAACCTGACGAAACTCTTTAAGTTTAGCGTCATCGTTCTCATTACTCAAGTTGGAGCTCTTCTTGTCTGGCTTAGTTTTTCCACTAAGAATTTTACTGCTCTTCTCAGGCTTTATCTCTTGCTTCTCCTTAGAATACTGACTCCAAGGACGAGGAATATCCATAGCCCCAACTTTCCAAGCAACCTTAACAAAAACCCCAAAAAATTATTAAATGGTCAATATATCTGAAATCAATAAAAAAAAAAAAAAAAATAAATAAAATTAAAAAAAAAATGACTTAAACATTTATAGAAGGTAGATAAAAGCTAATCTTGCTTGGAATAGTCCTTGTCATGAATGATTACTAAACTTATTATAAAAATAAATTAAAAATTAAAATAGACATTAAACGACCAGCTGGCAGAAGCAAAACCTCACATAAAACCTATACAAAATTATGCAGAATAGTTTTTCCATCATTTTATACTAAATAACCACTATCACTTTTTCACCCATTCGGTATCATTTGCTCATAGACAACTCAATCAATGACCATTCTAACTCCATTCCTTTCGTCTCTTCCAAAGCTACCAATAAACCCATCTTCATTTATTCACTTTCATTCTTGCCCTTTTTTTAAGAAAAAAACAATAAATATTCATCTTCCCCTTCAAACATCAAGATCAATTTCCCATGTATAAATAGATTCTTTCAATTTTCCAACTCAATCCCTTCGATAGAGTTTAATTCTCAACTTTCCCTCCTTCCCTCCAACTAAATCCCTCATTCAATTGAGTTTAATTCTCAATTTTCCCTCCTTCCCTTTCCAATTTTTCATTCACTTGAACAATTAGATTAGAACCATTAGTTTAGTCATACAAGAAAACCTACTAATGAGGGAGATGCATTTGAAATAGTAGACAATTATTATTCAATTAGTCACTAAACCTTTTGTTATATGAAAATAAATAGTCAAACAAAAAAACTTTGAAATCTCATAGTACTAAATAATACTTATAAACTAGTAGACAATAAAGGGGAAAGAACACAACTCAAAGTTAGTTGATAAATCACTCTAAATAATAGGGTTTACATCAATGTTACATGGTACAGAATTCAATTTGGCACAGGGAAGCAGAACAAATTGCCTCAAGGGAATTAGTGATGATGGGAACATCAATGGATACTTACTGGTATCCAACCAATTCACTAACCGATTCTATTATACAATTCTTAAGAAGATGCAATAAAAAAGAGGAAGGAGGGTTCGGTTCTGAGTTTACAGGTAATTAATTATACAAATTCCAAGGTAAGATAATATTCATTCTTCCTTGAGCCGTAAGAATAAGTATATTATTAACTATAAAATTAAAAGAACAATTAGCATATTATTCACTATGTCATTATTGTATTCCACATCTTGGTTTGTACTAACTTTTAGCAACACCACCACTTACCATTTCATTCTTAATAAGAAAAGAAAATAAAATTAAAAGGCATTAAAATATGCAACAAACCTCGCATATAATTCTTGATGTATCCATAAAAGACTTGTTGAAGTACTTTATAGCCTCTTCAGCTTCTTTCTCAGTTCGGTAACCAATAAAAGCAAACTGTCTATTCTTACCCTCTCTGCAATTCGCAATATATTCAATCAATCAGTTTTCCATTAAATTACAATAGATTATAAAAACAAAAGGAAACCATGAAACTGGGAGCAATAGAAGCCCAGAAAAATTTTGACCTGGTACGCATGAGCTTGGCATCAGTAACCTCACCCTTCTCAGAAAAGAATTCTTTAAGACGATCCTCAGTTGCATATTTGGGCAAATTCTTCACAATAATTCGAGACCTACACAATTATTAAAATGATAAAAAAACAAGATACCATACACATAATAGCGAAGGAAAAACAAATTAGCCGAATAGAAGAAAGTCGTCCAATTAAAATAAAAGGAATATAGAGCACCCCATCGGAGTAGACGAATAAGAAAGTCATCTTATTAAATGAAAGGAATATAAAGCACCCTGTAGGAGTGTAGCAAAGTTTGTTGCCATCCATGGAGAGGCATGAGGCTAAAAATTTTGGCAAAATCTTAATTAGCCTCAAATATGTCAGGGAGGATCATCTTTAGGATTAATTGTTTCCATTAAAAAAATGATTGACACATATTCAAATAATTTACACTGGATGTACATAGAAAATAAAAAATGTTCTCTGATCTTGTTTACAAAAATCATTTATCTGAAATGCAGTAGCTAACATACATCTTGCGTTATACATACACCAGTGGCACTTGGCGTCTGAAATATTTATAACCTACAAGGACAAGAGAATACGTTACACATTGTTACAACTTATAAGTGAAACAAAAATTAGAAAGACGTGCAAAATGTAGTCAAAGGCCAAACAAATATACAGAAATATACTAGACTTTAGTCGCAAAAATATTTTATTTCACAACAAATTTAATATAATCTTACAGCCAAAAAACCAGAACAAACACCAAGGACTTGAAAATTACAAGGAAAAATGGGAGACATAAAAAATTAAATAAAATAAAATAAAATAAAATGGGTGTGCCTAATGCATTAGGCGAAAAGGGTACAAGCAGGTGCTCTCAAGGCGCCACAAAACCCCCTATTGCCTATTTGCCGACTGCACAGCTTGTGCCTTTAGCTTTTTTACATAAATGTGTAAGGAGGAAAACAGCAGCTTAATTTCATCTCTTATTGTGATTCCCACTAAAAAGAGATTTTGTCAATATACAGAAACACAAATGAAGAATTAGACTGACAATTAATCATAACAGGTTATTGAAAAAGATAGATAAACCAAAGCTTTTTGGCAATTGTTCGATAAACTAAACCGGGGCCTTAGGAGAAAGGGTCGAATTTCATAGTTCCATACTAACATTAAAGGGTCCTATACAACCCATTAGCAACCAAATTTGATTCAATTGATTGAAGAACCAACAAACACAGGACACAAGGCAGGAGGGAAAAGAGGTCAAAATTCATAGTTGAATCCTAACATTAAAGGGTTGTGCAATACATAAGCAACCAAATTTGATTCAATTATCTCGAAATTTCACATAATCTTAGGGATATTTGATTCAATAATCAAATTCGGCTAATAATTCTATATTCTGGTAAAATAATCGCCATTTAGTAATTAGAACCAATAGTTGAGATTTTCGAACCCTACAATTTATGCAGTGACAATTAAATTAGATTATGAAATTGATAAGAAACAACTTACCTCTGAAGGTGCTTCGATGAAGGATACAAGTATTTTGAAGTGCGATTCAACGGAGAATGTCAACTGCGATTCAATGGATAACTGTGAGAGAGGAGAACAGGAGGAGGAGGCAGGGACATAAGGGGTTTACAAGGGTTTAATATTAGAAGTAAACCTGTTTAAAGTACGGAGTATTTCGTACAGCATTAGTTTTCTTTATCCTTACATTTCTTAAACTAGGAAAGCCTACACACGCAATACGCGCGATACAGCTAGCCATCGCAGAGGAGTTAAAAATTCGAACCTCAAAGTTTACATACTTTGAGTTGCTGTTGAATTATACTTGTCTTAAGTCGATCAATAAGAGATTATATCTTAATTTATATAATTGTAAAAACATGTTTTGTGTTATGATTATTTATTTTGAAAATGATTATATATATGTTATAACTCGCCAATGTACGCATTACTATATAAAAAGGCGAACAAAGCTATTGCATCATTCTATAACTACAATAGGAGTGTTATGGAGAGGACAAAACCCTCATTGAACACCCTGGCACAAATTAAAGGCTATGTGAATTAGTATATTTCCCTGCAAATTAGATAGTCTTTGGACCATATAATGGAGGAGATAACATTTATGAGCTACGAGTATTTAACTAATGATGTATGAGTACGTCTTAACTCTTTCCTATAATCATAAACTATAAGTTTTTCCTAGGATAAAAATCGAGCCAGTGACATAGTAACTAAAGCAAAATACATCTTCAAACAACCTCTTAATCAAAAGTATAAGACTATAGTACCTCATATGTAAGACATAACTGCTACATTCCGTAAAAGATTCATCAAATGAGTTGCTTTGTTTGACTCCCTTATAAACACAACTATAAGAGATTACCCCAAAAGTAATACTTTTTTTTTTATTTTTATTTTTTTTATTATTTTTTTTTATCATTTTAATGGTATCCAAGCAATTACACTTTACACTCCACCGTACCACTACGAAGGTACCATTATTGCATTCATTCGTCAACTCCACCAATCTTGAGCTGTCCCCAACTCTAACCGGATACGGGCATCTCCGAATAGTATGCTTATTCACCTACCCTCTTCGTATAACATAAACAAATAGATTGCACAAACTTTACATTTCCTTTAGTATAAAAAAACAACCACAGGGTCATCATCCTTATAAAATTATCGCGGTGGTGGGTGGTGACCGAGGGAATGGAAACTGACATGTTGGCAGTATTTTCCAGCAACCAGAAAAGGAGTTCGTTAGAAAAAAGGAAATTGAGAAATAATTTTTGGCCTTTTCAGTGGAATGATAAGAAGGAAGATAAACAAAAGAAATAAAGGACAAAAATATGAAAGGTCAAATACTTAAATGCATCAAAATTAATTTTAATTGGGGGTAAATATGTCAATTAACTTTTTTAAGGGTATTATAGTCTTGACACTATTCATAAGAGTATTTTCCCACTTTTTATAAGGTAGGGATACTCCCTTTGTTTTATAATAATCGTAAGTTCGTAACGGTAGGGAGTGTACGTAATATTCGTAATTTAAGAAAAAAACTAGTCTTTTGGCCTATACAATGTACGGGCTTATTTTAAGGATACTTTTTCAGCCGATGATATTGTTCTCTTTGCATATGTACGATTTATATTTTAACTCTTTTTCTTGATCTCCCTAACGAATTTCGTTAGAATATTTTAAGTAATGGGTCTTATCACTTTGAGACGTGTTAATAAGTCAAAATTAGTTATTGTTTAAGTAGATGCCAATAATTATTAAAGCATGTAATAAGCCTTTGTTTATAAGTAAAAAAAAAAACAATATGATTTAAGTTATTTTCAACCACTAAAATATTTATCCTAAAGGCAACGAAGATGAAGGGTTTGATTACCAATATATTTGAACCCATGATTTCTAATTTGTAAAAGGTTTGAAAGTGATTTTACACTAATTTAACCCTGCATGACTTCCTATGACGGAGGTGGAGCTATGTTAATTATAGTACGTCACTCACCAAATCTGCATGCAAATGTGATGGAGGTGGAGCTATGTTAATTATAGGTAATATTGCATTGAGCGAGGTTAGTGAATTGTGAATAAATACCAAAAACTAATTATCATCATTATTATGGGAGGATTTTGTAACCGAAAAGATGATTATAGAAATTAATTTGTGGAAATTGAAGAGGGGAGATGAAGATAAAGAGTGTGTGGGGTCGATTATTGTAGGTTTGCTGATGAAGGTGAAGAGGCCATGGATGGTGGATATACTGTTAAAAGATATAATTAATATACAATTACTACATACTTAGTAAACTATTAATTATAAATTATAAATTTTTAATTAAATAATAACTTTCCCTTTGAATTAATATGATAATAGTGCACACGTGGCACATTGATTAAAATTGTGAACATGTGGTACATTGGATTGGAATAGTGAACACTTGACACATTCAATTAGAAAAGATAATATAGGTGGAGACATGTGTGCATCTTGGTTTGAGTTTTTAAATACTAATAACTAGCCTTCTGTCTCGTGCAATGCACGGGTTATTTATATGTATACAATATTAATTTTTTTTTTACAACATATTTTTATTGGAAAATAAATAGTTTATAAAGGAGACAAATTAAAGAGGTGAAAATTAAATGTAATTGTAGAAGATATTAAGTTGAGGGAAAGTGAACCAAACAACATTCATACATGTATTGAATTAAAGCTAGTTTTAAAAAAAAATATATATGAGAAAGGGGATTAATTAAATAAAATGTTAATGAGGTGACATATGGCATTGCATTGGTGAAAAATAAAGTGTACATGTGGCATGATGGGCATGATGGTTTGTATTTTTAAATATTAGGTATAGACTCCGTTAAATGTTTTGTGCAACTTTTGCCATTTCGGGATGTTTTGTATTATGTGCAACTTTCTGATTTCTTTCTATTTTTAGTTAAAAAAAAGCCTAAAATTATGCTTTTACCCGTACTTAACCATTTTTTTTAATCTTTGCCCTTATTCTAATCTAATTACATTAACCTAATCTCATCACATAACCCAAATCCAATGACTCCCTCCATTTATTACCCCAATTCCCCCCAACTCTCTTCATTTACTCACATCCCCAACCACCAAAAATTAATTACGATGGTTGGGCTCCTCTATTTCTTCTGGAGATTTCTCCATATAAACCGTAGTTCATCATCTGGGGTTTTCTCTCTCCTCTTCTTCTTCGATTTCCCACTTCATCTCTCCAAATCTAATCTTCTCTCCTTCGATCTTTCTCAAACACAAGTCCCCTCTCAACAATGGTTAACTTGGATCCTTTGAATGATGCTTACATGGCTACCAACGACAAAGAAGAGGTGAATCTGATCCACCATCTCATCCACTGCTTTGAGATTGGTTCTCCCTTCCCTCGTCGTTTTTATGAGTCCAGCAAAACGGGTCCCTACTGTATAGTACCTTATACACCATAGATCTCTAGGTCAAGTCCTAAAAAGTATTGAGGAGGAAGAAAGACAAAAGAGGGAGGAAGGACAGGGTGAGTCCCGTAGAAAGTCACTCGATTTCTCTAAGGATCCTATGGATCTGGTTGCTGAGAGTGGAGAGGGAAGTGTTGTGGCTCCAACTAAGCCCAAATATAAGAGGGAAAGGCCACCACCTAAGGTTCGTTCTTCGAGGAAGGCGGCGCGTGTTGCTTTGAGAAGGATGCGTGGGCTTCCTGACCACGAGTTGATCGTGCTTTCATCTGATGAGGAGGCTGACGAGGAACCACCCTCCAACAAACCAGAGGCAGTCTCTTGCTCTGTCCCTATTGTGAAGTGCTATGTGAGGCGGATGAACCCTAGTGTTCAACCCTCTAAGTGATTGCTCTCATAACGATTCCTAACCCTAACTTATTTCTTAAATTGTTTGAGTCCCTCTTTGTTGATGCTTGTGTATGGTGGTCAATTGATCTGGTGTTTGTGTGTGATTGTGTGCTAGTTATCTGCTGGTTACTAAGTCCCTATTTAATGCTTGATTTTAGTTGTTTAATGGTGTTGTTTGTGGGTTCTGTTGGTTGGTTGATTGTTGTTGTTGGAGTATGGTATATGATTCTTTTGGTTGTGGATAAATTCTTGGATCTGTTGTATATTGGCCTTTATTCTGGTTGTGGGTGTTGTTGGTTGATTGATTATTGTTGTTGGAGTATGGAATATGACAAATTTTGGATAGTGGATAATATGTTTGATCTGGTGTATTTTTGGCTTGACTTTGTTTGTGGGTTTTGTTGGTTGATTTATTATTGGTGTTTGATGGATTATGGACAGAATGATGGGTTATGTTGTGTGTTAATGGCCTTTGTTGTAGTTGTTGTTTGATTACTGTGTTTGAATTAGTTATGGCCTTTAAGGGAATATGATTGATGAATGATGAGGCTATTTTGGCTTGTGTGTTGCAAATAATGTTCTCAATGATCTTTTTAAAAGTGAACACTGTGAATTCCTTATTGTAGAACCACTTAATGTGAGTCTCTAATTGTTGCCTGTGTAGTACTCAGTAGAGAGTCCCATTTTTTTTTTCTGAGTATGATGTTATTGTTTAATCCATATGATGAAGGGACTCCAATGAATTACAATTTGAACAAGTATGTTGCTGCATCAATCACAATGAAGTGATTGTTGTTGAGCTAAACTTGTTTGAGTTGTTGTATTCAACACACTATTATTCCTCTGATGGATTTTTTTGATTTCAGAATAATTTGCTTCTTCATTCCAATCAAAATGTGGCTACAAAAAGCCTATTACATGAGTACTAGAACACACATCACTGCCTTAGTGGTATATGACAACCTAACACACAAAATACACCTGACCACCTGTTCATTACCATTTCAAAAGATTAAAAAACAAAAAAAAAAGGCTTTAGATGATTATGTGTGGCAGTATATGCTGATGTCCTGATTTGCTGTGTACTCTGGTCTAATCTGCATCCACCTCCATGTCCTCTGCTGCTTCATGAGTCCTTTCTGGTGCTGGTCTGAACATTGTGTTCAAGTACTCTACAGCCTCTAGCACTATGTCCTTCTGAACATGCACTTGATCTGGCAGAATGCCTAGATTTTCAAGTTTTTTCTTGTTCATATGTGGAATTTTGTACCTATTCCCACCTTGTGCCTT